TCTTCAGGAGTTCCCACAGAGGCCCAAGTCAGATGAGGATCAGATGCTCTCAGGCTTTCTCCTAAGGTCTGGGTCCCTCCAGGAATGATTTTGGCCTCAGGAATTTGGGGATTGGACTGGCTTGGGAGCCTGGCCCAGGAAAGATGCCAGTCTAGGGCAGCTGGTGGCCATGCCACCCAGAGATGCAAAGGCAGATGGGGCGGGAAGAGGCCCCAAGGACTCCTGGGGACTGCACTGAGGAGCCGGGTTGGTCTGGATGCGAAGGATCAGGAAAGAAAAGGTCAGCCCCTGCATCCAGAAAGAGGCTGGTGGGTGGTGCAGGCCCAGGGAAGCAGAGGGAGGTGAGGGCGGGGCCAGGCCCAGAAGCAGTGCTCCCGAGGTGGAGAAGGCACTAAGTTGGTCTGGATGAAAAGGATCAGGAAGCAGTATTGGTTCCCCAGGTGTCTGGAGCCCCAGACAAGGAATGGGGCAGGACCCAAACTAGAAGAGACCGGAGGGGGAGATGGGAGGGTGAATGAGGCTGGGGGAGTCAAGGCGTGGAGGGCACAAGGGACTTTCCCAGGATAGAGGCCTGTGGGTAGGAGAGAGGTCTGCCCCTTTTATTTTCTTAACCAGGGTATGTACACCAGGCTGTCTTTGAACTATGAAGCTAATGATGACACTGAATTCATCCTCCTGCTTTCACCTCCCAAGTGCTTAGATTACAGACATGCACCACCATGCCCAGCTGTTGTTTTTGTTTTTGTAGGTACTTAGAGTACACTCAAATATTTTAAGCATAATTAGGGAACAGACTTCAAAAAACAGGAATGTCTCAAGACATTCACATTTGATGGAAATGTACTTGAGCTTCATGAGGTACCAGAAAAGGAGCTGGAAAGGCATTGGGAATGGTAGTGACTGTGAGAATGCACTTCTCAGATCTCTTAAGAGGAGGTGCTCCCAGAACTTACACAATGGAGTGGCCAACACTAGCTGTGTCCCTCTTCATGACAGAAGGACTTTTGCTCTAAGCTGCCAGCTGGTAGCCTCCAATCGACAGCCCCCTTTTGAAATTACACCCAATGAAGAAAGCCTCATTACTCAAGGTTGCACAGCTCCCTCTGGGGACAACATGCAACCAGTGACAACTTCAAATGCTATCCCAACTTCAGAACTCCATAGAGTTCTGATTAGCTGAGGTACTTGTCACAACTCCCTTGCCACCTACCTTTTCATCTGACCAAGACTGTTCTCTCCATTCTTCCATAGGTATCAAACCAGAAAGCACCCATAGTTCCCCTCCTGAATGCTCATCTCCATCCCAGCTTCCCGCCAGCCTCCAGTACTGTCATACAGCCCAGTGCAGCATCCCTGAATGGCTAGTGATGCAGTTAGATTGTGTCTCTGGACAATTCCGGCACTCTGCTCAGCTATATCTCTCTGGTATCCCTTAACAGATATCCTTGATGCCTTACTTCCTGCCCTTCCTCATAGCCTGTATGCCCTAGATCCCTCACTAGAGACATCTCCCTGTTGAGGCTCAGGAATAGTTAGGAAACTCCCATTTATGGTCTTAGCAGTAAAACTAGAAATCACTCCCCAGGCCTTGTACCTGAGGGCAGGCATTCCACAGAGGGATAAATGACCTGCTGGAAGTGCATTGCTATCTTTGATGTCTGCCTTGGGTCCTTTCCCTCAAGCACTTGAGCCTGATGCAATCCTTGGGCTCCAATTACCAGGCCAACAGGCAACCACAAGTGCCTTTTCTTTCCTTCAAAATGTGTGTGCAAAGTCTATCCATCTATTCCTCAGCATAGTGTTTACAAGCTCCATCCACATCTCAGTCTTCTACTCTCTGCTCAGAGCACTTTCTTCCTAATTCATAACCTAAAAACAATTAAAGCATGCTTTTGTCATCAAAGATGGGACAGGATCAGACACCTTGGGTCAATTCTTCGACCCAGATCATAATCCCTAGTGAGAATACACGTTCAGATGGCCTCCATTAACACACTACCTCATTTAAGGCAGGAGTGACTCTTCGTTTTCTGACAGGCAGAAAATGGCCTGGAACACATAGCTCCTTCTTTCTTCTTCCCTCTTTCCTTCCCTCCCTTCCTCCCTCCCTCCCTTCTTTTCTTCCATCAGTCAGTGTGTTTCTGGCTTGGCTTTGGTTAACATCCTGTCTTTGGCTTGGCCCAGTTCACTACTATGGGAAGGAACCTAGCAGCAGAGGCTGCTGGAGAACAGACCTGATCACTGCAGTGTAGTAGACACAGAAACACAGCCAGCTGCAGCTGGAAGAAAACTTGGGATATGATGTACAACCATATACAAGCAAGTTGGGACTCAAGTACCAAGGTGTAGGTTTATGCCATGGAACCCAAGCAATCAAAGCCATGGGACAAGAATAGGACCACACTGTGGGGTGACAGAAAGCTGCATCAGAATATTGGCTGGAAGGCTCTTCATTCTCTCCAGTTCAGGGCCTAGGGAATGATAGGTAAAAGTTTTGGGCGGAGAGCGAGCGAATAGAGGATGAGGCACCGAGGCACAGATAGAACTCTCAGCGGGATACAGCTTTATTTCGCACGGGACACGTTTCCCTCAGGGAAGGGAAAGATGTCAGTCCACGGGTTGTGAGCTGGGGCTTATATACAGGGGCTTCAGGGTGCAGAAGTGGGGGGGGGCAGGATCTGGGTCTGGAAGTATTTACTTTTTCCCTCTTAAGATAAGGGAAAAGCTGTTGTGTTAAACAGCTTCTAAAATCTCTGGTTAACAGGTAGAATCTGCTTATCTTGTCTTTGGAGATCAGAGGAAAGGCAGGCTGCTTCTCAGCAGAGTTTGTTTCCCTGGACTTCAAAGGCCAAGGTGCTTATCAGCTCAGTTCCCTTTTTCAGGCTTCAAAAGTCCATAGGTCCCTGTTGGGGAGTGGGGAAGCTGCTGCTGTTTGGAACCCTAATAGGGAACCCATCCTAAATGCCATGTTCCCAGAGCCTATGAAAACCATAGCAGTTTCCTTCTGTGTGTGGAACTCCCCTGGGGTCATACTCCAGTCCCTTTATTTTCTTCACTTCAGGGAAAGGGAAGGATGATCACTGATTACTGCATAGAGCAAACTGGCCACGCACAAGCTACCTGCACCCTCTTTCCTCTTTAAGGAGAACTGAATCTACTACACTGCTGAGGGACCTGTACTTCCACTAGTGAGGAGTCCTTTCCTCTGGTTTAGTGCTGCTGTGACTGAATGGGTTAGTCTGCCCTGTCGGATTTATAGTAGTAACCCCATGAGCTGTTGGATGTAAACCACACTCTCCAACAATAAAGAGGATATTTGGGCCCTGTCACTCCTCTGCTTTATTCCTCAAGACCATCAGAGAGACCCCAGAGTAGCCTTCTAGACCCTTTCCATTTTTCTGTTAATAGACCCTCACCAGAGAGAAGCAACGAGGCTGCCCGATTTTGGACTTTCAGCCTCCAAACAGTGAGCTCATGATTCAGTCCTCAGCACTGCATAAAACCAAGTGTGGTGCACACCTGTAATCCAAGCATTTAGGGAGTGGAGGCAGGAGGATCAAGAGTTTAAGGTCATCCTTGACTACATAGTGAGTTGGAGACCCATCTGGGAGAAATGAAATGGTGTTAAAAAAAAAAAAAAAAGAAAAAGAAAAACAATCAACCAGCACAGCTGTGGTCCATATACATGTATGCAGGCAAAATGTTCATACACTAAATAAATTTTTTACAAAGACCAATCAACCAAACAACAAAAAAGCATGATCTCCTGATTTAATTTATAAACAACTTAAGCCTGTCAACAAAATAAAAAGGTGTATATATACACAAGTGCCAATTTCCCTTGCCCTCCAGCTAGATTATAAGGAGGCAAATAGGGAAAGAATAAAGGGTATTCTCTCCATTGTTGAAACAAAACCCATGGTTTTCACAGAAGAAAACACCAAAAATAGTGGCATTAGAGATGCAGGTAAGAAACTCCCAAGACAGGTAGAAAAGGGGAACATCTGGAACACATGGTCCACCCACCTCACCACAAGGTATTATAGGACAGAACAAGATCGTTCTGATGAGGGCTGCCTGCAGGCCCTATACAAGAGTGGACTTGAAGTTGCCTCTTTTGAAAATTCTTTTATAATGCCTTATACACATAGTTGAGCTGAGGGGGCCTCCATCTCCCTTCAAACTTTGGAAGAAGCCCCTCACCAGGCACGGTGTTGTCCTCTGCAGCAGAATGGGTAGGCTAGTCCATCACAAATCTTCAACTCTGGGACCAGCAAAATCTTTCCTGAGAAACGGTTCCCCTCCCACAATGCTAAAGTCAAGCATCTCCCCCCAAAATTCAGTGAGAACCTGACATTCTCTCAAACCACTTTCCCTAAGGCTGAGTACCAAACGGAGGTATGGTTTTTTGGTTTTTTCTTCTCTGTACTGCCTAACAGCAATGAAGCTCCTAGGCTCCCACAAAACTGTACTCCCCCCACCCCCAAAAAAGGCACAGGAAGAACACTGTAGGCTATTTGAAAACAAAGGCCATAAAGTTTATTAGTTCCTTTGTGTCTCCCTACAGAACCTTGTATTTCATAATATAGTGGTCCAGGCCATGAGCACTTTTGGGTGAGAAGCCAGCTGAAGATTCTGAGGCTATTTAGAGAGAATTGCTTTTCCTTCAGGTGCAACAACCACTTTGTTTCCCTAGGCCACCTTCTCCTTGCTGCCCTTCATGACAGTCTGTCTTGTGTGAGGCCCTCTTGGGCCACAAGGCCAATTTACCTTGTAGTACACTACAGCAGCGATGAAGCTCCTAGGCTTTCTACCTCTGGACCTGGCTGCAACTGTTCTCTCCTCCTTCTTCTACCAGGACTCAGGGTCCTCCATATACCATATAATGCCCATCTGTCCCCCAATTCCCACCCTCAGATGCTTAACACCACAGCCTCTCCACACTCCCAGCAGTCCACAAAGCTGGGTCCCCTTTCTCTTCAGAGCCCTCCTAAGGCTCCCCTTAGGAGGAAGTGTGTGGAACTTTCAGCTTTCTCACCTCTCACCACATTCTGGTGACCAGCGCCATTTCTTAAGTGAGAATGCCCCTTCCCCAAATACTCTCCCACATCAACATGGCACCAGCTGCTCCTTCCAGGAAGCTGTCAGAAATCATCCTGTTCAGAACCTGCCTTCTGTGCTTGGCACAGGACTCTGCCAAGGTATCCATGAGGCCACTTACTTCATTCTGCCTCCCTCAAACTAAGGACATACAATCCTGGGAGACAGGTTCCTGTCAGTACTATGTTCCTTTCATGGAGCCTAGTGGTGTTTTTTGCATAACCCAAGAGACCCTTCATATAAATGTCTCAGTGGACATGAAATGAGAACATACTACGTTTCCAAGAAAAACATGCATCCTGCCAAGAATGGACCACTCTCCAGAGGAGTTCAAGCTCTTTCACCAAGTACACATACACTTGGGGCCTGGTGCACGGGCTGAGTGAGTGAATGAATGAATGAAGAGTACAGGCAACCATTAAGGCTTCAACCATCACCTGGTTGGAAGAGCTATTCTACAGGCCATTCTTCCTGAACCATTTGTACTCTCAGGCTTCTCCCAGAAAGTATCACTTGCTGTGGTTTCAAAGAAAGGGCAGCTTCTGCAAGCCACAGATGGCTAGAGTTCTGAAACCACTCTCTTCTGCAGCTAATCAGGGCATGAAGAGAGCAGCTCAGTTTGAAGTCGAACTGAGTAGAATCTTGAGCAGAGCTTCCTACTGTTTCTAGCTGTGGGCCCTGGAAACTCCCTCTGTGAAAGGTGTCAGGAGTAGGAGGCTCCCGGGGATGAAAATGTAACACGTGATGCCAGGCACATGCCAAGCCCCTTCTAACAGTCCTATATTGCAAACTTCATCTCCTCTAAGAGGAAGAGTAAACCACATCTGAAAAACTGACAGAAAAATGACAATCATTGGCATTTGCATTCTTATTTATAGTTTTTCTGTTTTTTGATTTGCTTTTTAATTTTTTTCCTAGAAAAGAAAAACACAACTGGGGGAATTTATATGACAAACTATCCATGTCAGAATGGCAGAGGAAAGAGAAAGGCCAGAGGCACGGGAAGCTAATAAAAAGTGGGTTCCAAATCACATGGAACAGTCCACAGGGTCATGTCCTTGTCCTCATGAGATGACCATTCACTTTGGCATGCATGTTTGGTGCCTGGTCTTCTAGTTGCCCATTCAGATGCCATGTTAGAGAGAGCTGGCCACACTTCAGAAACCTGCCAGTCAGGAGCTCAGGACTTCACAGAGAGGCAGGCCTAATTCAGCTCCTTGTTTTTGTGCTCAGGCATCACCTGGCAGCCTTTCTTGCCTCAGATAAGTGTCTGGAAGAATGGGAGTCATCCTGGGGCACACTTTGGCATCACAGCACTAAACTCCAAGCAGGGGGCTTACTCGTGTGCACACATGGTCTTCGCCCACACAGGCATCTGTCCCCACTCATTCTAGCTGAAGAATGAGGAGGTGGCAGTCTTCTTGTGGCCACAGCTCAATGGCTGCATTCATTCTCCATTCTTGCTCATAATGTCTGCTGCCTTAAGGGTGGGAGGAGATTGGAATTCATCTCTTTTTCAGCTCAGCACTGGACTCTGATTCCAAAGAAGCTAGTAACTGAACAAGAACAGCTCAGCTATCTGGATCCATGTTGTAGACCTCTCAAGGTCTACCCATTTTATGCCCCACATCTCTAGGCAAAAAAATATACTTAACCCAGAACAAACAGAATAGCCAAAGTGACAGCCCAATAGGACACTGCAAGACCAGAATACATTCCAGAAGGGGAGAGGGGCATGCAGCAAGATATAGCCCCAAGTCACAGTCTAGGGGACACACTGAATCTGAAGGCTATAGCCAGGCCTGTGTGTCTGACAGGATGGTCCTGACACCAACCTGATGTGCCTCTGGGTAGAGTTCCTATATGGAGAGTGGAGGGTCCTGCCCTACTTGGCCCATGTGCCTGAGCTGAGGCCAGGTTACATCTCAGTGCTACAGTTCTGAGGAGCACCACACTGGCCGGCCAGTCAGGCCATCGTCCTCAGCTCCTGAGGGGCCACAGGGGCCATGTGGCTCTAGTTCCACAGAAAGGCCCCAGGGAGCCACAGCTGCCAGGAGGGAAAGAGCCAGGGCAGAAAGCCTGCATTCTGCTGGAGAGACTCTGGGAAGAGTGAGTACTGGCTCAGAGGGAGCTGTGGTCCAAAATATTGCAGAGCCACAAGGGATAGAATACATTTCTAAACAACAGCCTTGTCCCTATTTTAAAAAGAGATGTGGCTGCTGTTGGTTGGTTTTGTTTTTCCTTTTAAAACCACTCACATTAAAAGGTGAAGGGGCTCGGGGGGCTCAGCCCCCTTTACTGCTCAGGTCCTTTCCAGGATCGGTCTCTTGCCTGGTTCTGCCTCCTTGCCTGGCTCCAACCACACAAAGCCAGGACAAGGCAGGAGAGTGGCTGCTCTGCTCCCCAGCAATTCCTTGTCCCCAGAAAATCAGAGCACATGTGAGGGGTAGTTCAAAGACTAAAGTGCAGAGAATCCACGAGGTGGAGAGCCTGGGCCTGGGGCACTCCAGACGGAATGAGGGGGTCAAGCCCAAAGCTAAGGGTGTGGAACCAAGGCTGAGCCTGGCAAAGTGAGCCTGCACGGCACAGTCCCCTTCCCCTTGGGCCCTGTTTGCACCTCTCTCAGGGACTGTCCACTACCAGCAGCAACCCAATGACAGTCCCAGTCCCAAAGACATGGCCCACAAAGGGAGGACACTTGTCTGACCATCCCTGGTTGGGAGCGGCTAGTGAACAGGAAAGGAGCAGAGGGTAGTAGGAGGGGAAAGAGTGCATTATATAAAATCTATGAATCCCAGCTCTTGGGAGCAGAGACACATGGATAACCCTAAAGGCAGAGTCTCTTGGGGAGGGTTTGGTGAAGATGGTCAGCGTCCTACCGGTGAGGTCTGCTGGGGGAAGGGGCTCCCCTGGGTGTGAAAGGAGCTGCGGCACTGGGGGAGGGGCTGCTGAGGAAGAGACCTCTGGAAGGTATTAGGGTGTATAGGCAGGGGGCGGCTGGAACTGGTTGATGACCTCATATTCTGCTGGATAGGGTTCATTCTCCTCCATCTCAGACAGCAGCTCCAGGGCCTGTTCCTCTTCCTCTGTTGGGTAGTGGCGCAGGAGGTTGGCTGCAGTGGCCAGGATTGAGGCTCCGCCAGCTCCTGCCACCAGGTAGAAGCTAACGGCAAAGGTGACGTAGACCTGGGAGCCGTGGTATTTCTTATGCTGCTGCTGCTGGGCCAGAATGAGCTCAGAAGCCCAGTAGGAAAAGCCGATGACGGTGGCACACTGCAGGACTAGGAGACAGAGGGACAGCACAGAAGGGGGATTAACAGCCAGCATGCTTGAGGAACCAATCACAGCCTCTTGCCTCATTTTCAGAGAACCCGCCTGACCCACAGTCCTGAAAGGAGGAGCTCTCCCAGTTATGAGATTTTTGGTCTGGGGCTGGAGACAGCTGTCTAACCTTGTCCTGACCGGCCAGGTTCTGTTTTAAGAATTTACAATTGTTCAATGGTAGGGAACTTGCATAACATACTTAAGACCCTGGGTTCAATCCCCCCCCCCCCCCACACACACATGGGAATTTTCAGTTAGGATAGTAAGGCTAATGGATATTGCTTGGCACTTAGAAGGAACAGATAAGGGCATGCAGTTTCAGAAACTGAGTTGGAACCAGAGTCAGCCACAACCAAAGCCAAATCACACACCAGCTGCACCCAAGAGAAGAGAACAGAGAAGAGAAGAGAACAGCTGCACCCAAACAGAGAAGGTGAGCTTGGCAGGGAGGTAGCAAGAACTTGACCATGCACCAGGTGAGACAGCCTGACCCCTTCCTTGCTCACACCAGGCCCTGAATTCTCAAGAACTTCATAACCCATTTTTAGAGAGCTGTGTGTGACCTTCCTCATGGCATTCTAACAATGTTCCCTCTGAACCTGGCAAGTTATCCAGGTGTGTGATTTGGCTTTGGTTGTGGCTGACTCTGGTTCCAACTCAGTTTCTGAAGCCAACACTCAGGCACCCTGATGCTCTCTGAAAGGTTAGCACTGGTCACACAAACTCTCCTCAGAACAACAGATTTCCCCATAACATTATGCTCTAGGGCAGGTCCTTCCCCACACAAGCAGGCCCTGGGCTTACCAGTGAGGATGTGAGCGAAGGCATAGCGACGAGTGATCTTCAGGGCTGGATGCTTGGGCCCAAAGACATCCAAAAGGAATGCAGATAGACTACATAGGATGCCCAGAAAGCAGAAGGCGGCAATGACCCTCAGGAGCAGCACTGTCTGGGGGTTCATACAGAAATCTGTGGAGGGAAAACTGAGGCTTCATGTCCAAGAAACACCCCAGGGGAGGCAGTGTACCTGAAAGGAACTTGGTCCCCATCCACCAGAGTCTCAGGGGCCTGGAGCCCTGGAGTGTACTGTGTGAACTCCTGCCACCAGCTGGTTTGCAGAGGGGCAAACAAGTTCCACACTGTAGTCAGGAGTCACCTCTACCTCAAGTCCTTGTCTCTCTAACTAGTCTAGTCAACCTGTATGACTCTATCTACTTTACTGTACTTGCCATGTTCTTTTAACTATTTTTCTTTGTTTTTCTTGAGGCAAGGTCTTGTGTCCCAGGCTGACCCAAACTCAGTAGGTAAGCAATGATGACCTTGAACTTCTGATCTTCCTGCCTCCACCTCCTGAGGGCTGGTATTATAGGCATATACCATCATGACACAGTTTCATGGCTCAAACCCAGGGCTTCCTGGATTCAAGGCACTCTACAAACTGAGCGGCAGGCCCAGCCCTGTCTTTCCTTTCTTTATTATTTTTAAGACAAGGTCTCACTGTGTAGCCCAGGCTGGCTTCAAACTTACGATCTTTCTCCCTCAACCTCTTGAGTGCTGAGATTATAGGCATGTGCCACCAGAACTAGCGTCAAACCATTTTTCTAGATCCTAACAATTAATTAGGCTGGCATGTTAACCTATTCTGCTAAATGATGCTTCATTGACTTTTGAGCTGAGACAGAGAGACCAAGACCAGAGGTCAATTAACATCCATTCTTCATTTATTCACTCAATCCATCCCTTTTTGTTCTCAAAAGACATTAAGCTAAGCGAAGTCAGTCAAACACAGAAGGCCAAATATTGTAGGATGCTGTTCATGAGATGCCAAAACAATCAGATTCATTGAGACAGAGTGGGATGGTGTTGCCAGAGTGGGATGGTGCTGCCAGGAGTTGGAGAAAGGGAGGTCAGGGTGTTACTTAATGAGTGGAGTTTTGGTTGGGAATGATGAAAGGTACTGAAAATGGACAATAGGAGCAAAGGCCGACAACAATGTGAACATATGCCACTGAACTGGACACTTAAATGGCTAAAATGAGCTGGGTTCATACCTATAATCCCATCACTTGGAAGGTAGAGGCAGGAAGATGAGGAGCTCAAGGCCAGCTTCTTCTTCTTAGCAAGTTCAAGGAGGCCTGGACTACATGAGCTTGTCTCAAACACTTTCCCACTTAGGGCCCTCCCACACACCCAAGAAAGGAGAGAGAACTTGGACTGGAACTAGACAAGAGTTGAAACATAAGACTACAGTTAACCTAAGGCGTTTATAAAAGTCCTGGAAGGTTCAGAAACTGACAGCCATAAGTCATGTATATGCTACCAAAATATGGGAGCAAATCAAAGAAAAGGAAGGTGGTAAAACCGGAGATGAAACATTCAAGGAGTCCCCAGAGTCAAAAGAGATCCCAGGGTGACAGTTATACCCCAGACACAGAGAAACTTGTATTTCCTTACAGTATTTGAGAACCTTTTTTTTTTTAACTTAAAAAAAAAAAATTTATGTTATTTTTATTTTACGTGTATGTGTGTATTGCCTGCATGTAGGTAAGTGCACCTGTGTCATGCAATGCCCTCGGAGGTCAGAAGAGTCCGTTGGATCCTCTGGAACTGGTGTTACAGACAGTTGTTAGCTGCCATGTGGGTGCTGGGATTCAAACCTGGGTCTTCTGCAAGAACAACCAGTGTTCTTAACCGCTGAGCCATCTCTCCAGCCCCGCAGTATTTAAGAACCTTTTTAAAAGATTTTCAGTTAGACAATACTGCCAGTCTCCTTTGATACCCATGCAAACTGTGATGGCTTCCAGAAGAACAGAACAGAAAATAAAGGCTGATAAAAAAATGGAGCTGGCCTTGATTAAAAACTTTAAGTTTTACCAAAAGCAGGAAACAGGTCTTAACTTCCTCTCTTTCCTCTTTCCTAGCGATTGTCAAGTGCTATCATTCAGGCCACAGGTCACCAAGTGATTTGAGAAAAACTGAACTGTGCTGGCCAAACTCACAGGTTCCTTTCTTGAACTTGGATGTCAAGCTCAGAGTCTGGGGGTGACAGTTTCTAACACATATCCCAGTCACTGAGGTGATGGGCAAACATGTTCAAGGCTCCCAGAGGGTCTGGATTCTAGGTGGAGCACAAGGCCTAGGAATCTAGATTTTAACCAGAATCCCAAGTAATCCCCATACAGGTAGTCCAAGTCTCCAGTCCCAAGAAACACCAGTATTGGATGCCAGAGTGATGGAAGAAAGGCCAAAAACTGGGAGGAGAGGAAGACCTCTAGCAGATGTTGGCCTCATGAGGTCTTAGGGATTGGGACAGGGGCTCCCAGACCTTTTGTGACTGATATGTGTACCCTGCCTTGGGCTCAGAATTCTCTAGGTAGATGTTGGCTGGGCCCAGACAAGACTCATGTGCCTCAATCTGGCTGCCCTTAGAGCTATCTGTCATGATCTTATCTGCTGACCATCTGTTTGTGACCCAAGATCCAGCCTGGGCGATTACCTGCTGCCTGAGAGCTTGCCTGTCCATGAGTTCTGCCAGCAGCCAGCACCAGCCCTCAGTGTACCCAGCATAGCCTACCTTAGACAGTATGGGGATACTGAAGAGGCCTGGGAAGAAAGCCTTGAAGAGGCAGGAACTTACTCCTAGCTCTGATTTGAACATTATTAAAAATGGAGTCAGTTCTTTTTGGGGTCTATACGGCATGTGGGAGGGCTGGGGCAGGACTCAAGTGTTCTAGTGCTTCCAAGAATAACTTGCCAGAAGCAGGGTAGAAGAGCTGATAGCACAGGCCACTCTGCAGGCCATGGCAGATTCCACTCGCATTACTCAATGCAGCCAGGCACTCTGAGTGAGGAACACACAGAGGCTTCAAAGATGCTGGTTGTTTCTTTTACTGAGAGGTGAGTACAAGATGTTCCTTTTATTATCCTTAAAAACATGTATCTATTATATCCTCCCCTGTGTACTTTATGTTTCATAATACTTTTATTTTAATAAGAAAGATGTGCACATGATAAAAGCTTCAAGCCTCTCCCCTTCCAGATGTTCACCTGCCCCTCCCCAGAGGCAATCATCATTGAAGGTGCCTTGCCAGTTCCTACCGGAGGGGCCTGTGCACACAGGCAAGTCAAGTACCATCTCTGTTGATCCTCACTGCCACCCTGGAGTCATCACATGGCTCCAGACGGTTAAGTGACTTCCTCCAGGTTACACAGTGACCACCAGACATTGCACTGTACTACTTGGAAACTGCCAAACACCCATCAGCAGCTTTATTATTTTCTTGATGGAGATAATCAAATCCAAAGGAGTGATATTGAAATGAAGGGTCAAATGAACCAGTCTGAATGCTGCCCAATGCCAGCTGAGCTCATGAAAAGAGGAGCCTGAAGGCTGAAATTACAATAGCAACAACAGAAAAGGCAAGAAAAATGTGGGTCATGAAGTGATGAACAGCCCTCATATGGGGACTTAAGATAAAACCTACTTCATGAGGGCTGGAGAGATGGTTTGGCAGTTAAGAACACTTGCTATTCTTCTAGAGGACCCAGGTTTGATTCCCAGCACTGACATGGTCACTAACAATCATTTGTAACTCTAGTTCTAGGGGGTCCAACATCCTCTTCTGGCCTCTTCGGGCAGATCATGCACATGGTGCACTTACCCAGGCAAAACACTCATACACATAAAAAAACAAAAAACCTGCTTCATATGGTGGTATTTCAGCCTCTGCAGCACCAAGGTCATCCAAACACTGCTCTGGGCAGGGGTCGGGACACCAGCAAAGCTCTGTATTTGGTCAAATCCTAGGTCTACCACAGGCCACATGCCACCTTCAGCAAGTCACTTGATGTTGCTCAGCCTCTGTTCTGATGGCTCAAATGAAAGGAGCAACACCTGCCTCACTCACCACAGAATGTGCTGAGAGGGTCAGGTGATACTGCACCCATGAAAGAGTATCACCTGGACTGCTACTGCCCCACTAGTGAGGGCTTCTAGCTGGGCCACAGCAACTTCATCCCATTAGGCCTTTTCATTCTTTCACCAGACAAGATACTAAAGCCAGGTTGAGGGTCTGCCCCACTGGAGTGGCAGTGGCACAGAGGAGCTTCTGATCCCCCAATTTAGGCATGTTTGGTTTCAACTGCCCTTCTGTACTCCCAAGCTGGGGAAAGCCAAATGTGAACTTCCCTGTGGGTGATATTAATGATCCCTAGAGGCCTGCTCCCTCTCACAGGTGGTCTTGCACAAGGGTGGGGTGGGAGTGTCTCAGTTAGCTTGGACCTGCAGAGAACCCAGTTCAAGAACATCTGGGGCCGAGATCTTAATGTCTCTCACGTCCCTTTCTAAATATTGGTATGTCAGGGAGAGTCATCAATACTCCCCTCAGATGTCTGACTTTACTGTGAGAGAGAGAGGGTTCGTGGGGCAGGGTCTTGACTTTAAATTCTAGCCAGTAGTTTACCATATGCCAGCAAGACACATAACACATCCTATACTCCAGATGAATTCTGTTTATTTTGGTAAACACTGCTTGACTGTCCCTTCTAGTCACCAGGGAAGAAGGCAGCAGCTGTGTAATCGGATCCCAAGGAACTGACTTTGCCCAAGGTCACTGGTGAGTCACAGGGCTGGGTTTGTTTTGAAGGCTCTGGCTCTTCCTGTCTACCTGCCCATTGCTCTGACCCACTCTTGACCCAAGTGGGCTGCAGGGAGAAAAGCTCAAGTGGCTTTAGATCAGCTCCCTGCAACTCACCCATCTTCCTCTTTTCACTTGGGTCCCTGTAATTTGAGGCATTCCCTATGACCCTAGTCCCCTGCAGCATCTTCTCATTTGCTCTGAAGGCTTCCCCCTCACTGAGACTCTATTGGCTTTCAGCCAGGCCTGACATAGACCCCCAACAGGGCTCTCTAGTGCCCAGCCGGAGCATCCTACAGATGTCATCCGTGTAGGCCAAGCTACCTGACGACAGGCTCCTACCCAACAGCAGGCTCCATAGGACCTGGCAGTGGTGGCTATATCTGTCACCACCCCCCAGGTGCACAGGCTGTCACTGGAAGATCCTTGATCCTCCAGTGGCTGTTGTCAATCATGATTAACTTGACATCAAATCCCAAACTTCCTTATTCTCCAAAACTGCTTCCTGGGGCTGTTTGGGGCTGCCCTTTGCTGGCCACACTGGAGAGACAGAGGAGTTCGGTGTCTCAGTTCCCAGAGACACTAAAGAACTGAGCATCTCTCTGGATCTGAGCACAGAGAAGCTGTGTGAGAAGCAGGTAGCCTTTGGGAAGGTGCAAGAATTCAAAACAGAATCCGTTGTGCAGGGTTTGTTGGCCCTCACCTTGAATCCCAACACTCAAGAGACAGAGGCAGATAGATCTCTGGGAGATCCAGGCCAGCTGAAGCTACAGGGAGATTTTTTTCAAAATCAAACAAACAAATAAAAACAAAACAACCCCCCCACCCCCACCAAGTACCATCCAGAATCTGCTAAGCTGGCATTTACTAAAACCTCCAGGGCTCTCTGGGTAAGGGCTCAATAGTGACTTTGTGTCAGGTTCCCTAACTTGAACCTGAACCCTGAGGCATTGTGGGCTAAAAAAGCACAGCTTAGGTTGAACTCATGATAAAGCCTCAACTAGAGGGGCTAGAGAGATGGCTCAGGGGTTAAGAGCACCAGTTGTTCTCACAGAAGACCTGGGTTTGAACCACCACACCCACATGGTAGCTAACAACTGTCCCTAACACCAGTTCCTGGGGATCTGACGCCCTCTTCTGTCCTCTGCAATGCACTGTATAATACTGGTGTACTTACACACATGCAGGCACAATAATCATAGACATAAAAATAAAAAAATAAACTCAAGTAGAATAGAAAATGATAGACCTCACACACCTCTGGCTGAAAGGAAAAGAAATTTGGGAGTGCATTAAGGTGCTGTGGTAATAATGAGAGCCAGGACTTTAGTCCACACCACTCAGCTTAGCTGTGTCCCTGAGCAGACTACCTACACTCCCTGAACTGGGACTTTTTTGAATAAAGATGAAACTAAAGGCAAATATGAAGTGTGCTTAGCTTCATGCCTATTGCCTAGCACACAGGCAGGAGCTGGGAAATGGTATCACTTGTTTGAGGGCCTGCTGGTCCACCTTACCCCCTGTCTCTTGGCAGAGATGTAGCACAGGGTATTTTCCTCTGGAAATATCTATAAGCACCACATCTGCTCAGCACAACTCAATTTCCCCCTGGGATGGGGCATCTCAGGCTTCCCAGTGGGCCTAGAGATCAGCACAGTCATACAGGAATCCATATGCTGGACTGTGTACCACAAAACATACAAGCAGGAGCAGTGAGAGAAAAGTAAAGAGGGACCTCTGGGTTCCTTGCCTTCCCCTGTAATGGCTCATGAGGTCCCACTGCCAAAGATCCTATTTACAGATAGATACCAGGCATTCCTGGTTTACAATGGCAGAGGAGATGGCCAGAGGCAATCGAGAAAACTACACATGGCTTAAGATTTCTAAACATGTAGCAAATGCAATGTAAAGGTTAAGACAACATGCTTGAAAAGTAAAAAACTCTGATCTGAATAATTTCTTAGGAAGTATAAATATATCTGTGGACAAACAAGAATCTACACCAAGAACTGATTTTTATTTAACATGCCATTAACAAGGATGCATACCAAAGTAGAATACTGTGAGCTCCTTCTTTACAACAGCTGAAGTATCCTTCTTTACAAAACAAAGGATAGAAATCATAAAGGAGACAGCACCATTTTATTTTGGCGTTAGCAGATGGGAGGCAGTCTCAGTAATGCCACCCAGCTGGGCAACGCTGGGGAGATCGCTCTACTTTTCTAAGCCGCAGTTTCCTGGATTTCTGAAATAAGGATGTAAGAGTAGAATGCCTCTCCCTCCACCATGTGAATTTTATGACCTTCCTACCCCAGAGATGACCTGTAAAGAAGCATCATGAACTTCTTCTCAGTTTATGTGTGACTCGAACTCCTGTAACACTGGATGAAGGTGCTGGAGGAGGCAGCTGTGCTTTCAAGAAGGCAAGTGTAGAGAAACATGCTGAGGGGCAAAGTATCCAAACACACTCAAACTCGATGACCTTTGTGCTATCAGCGACAGGCTAGAGAAAAAGCTTCATATCACCAGGCCTCCATCCAGTGTATAACTTTGCTTTTAGGGAGCCAACTCAGTATGAGGGTGAAAAATCGCAAACCAGAAGCCTCTATCTTGTTTTCTATAAAGCTATCCTAGTAATATGTAAAAGAGAAGCAAAACACTGAGAAAACTTTGGAAGAAAGACAACCTTGGGCCACAGGATAAGACTTTTCAGCCTAGACTGACAGCAATGTTTATAATTCAGTGCAGAGGAGAATGCTGACCTTTTTACCAAATGCCAGAGCCTGAGTCCTTCACGAGACACCTTGCATATATCTAACAGGAAGGGCTTCTTACTCCTAGTGCAGTGGATGTCTAGAATGCATCATAACCAAAGAGTGGCAAGGGAAGAATCGAAAAGACTTCGAAGAATGGTCAAAGACTTGGAGGGTGTTAAGGTAAGAAGCTATGCTGTTACTAAGAACCTCTGGGGGCCCACTGACCAGTTTTAGGTTAAAAATCAGACAATACAATCCTTCCTTCATACCACACAGCCTTTACCTTCACTCCTAGGGACAGGAAGGGGTAGGAGTAGTTATGGGGCTTCTGGGTCTGGCCCTCCTATAGGATCTAGACTCCTGTTTCATCCAATAAACACAACAGCCATTTTTCTTCTGCCTTTCAGGCTGGGAGACCCAATTGTGAACAAAACAACCTTCTTAGTAGGGGTACTACGAGCCAAATTCCAACTGTTCAGGGTGGCAATGGAACTGCCTTCTCATGACCTCAAATGCCTCAGAACCCCCTCTTCCTCTCTAAGTCCAATTACCATAGGATACTAAAATATCTTCCAAAATCTAATCATATTAAAAGTTCTGCTTTCTTTATCCAGTCAAGCTGCCCCAAAGCAACTTTCTGGTATCCCTTAGGTTCCTTAAAAGGGGACGGCTGATTGTGACACCTAGCACCCTGGTCTCTTCTACATGTACAGCGCCCTTCTTCCGACAGAATCCTAAAATAGCAGCAGTCCGGATTAGCATTGACTGTGAGGAGTAGGTGCTTAGCTGAATCAGAATAAATGAGGTGCTAGACCCTAACAGAGCCACCTGGTGGGCAGGAATACTAAGCAGGAATGGGGCTGTTTCCTTTAACCAGATGCTGCCCCAGGTTATCTTTGCTTCGGCTAGTGGCTAGTGTTGTATTCTGCACGCCGCCCCGCCCCCCGGGCCCGGACGGCAGTAGTGCAGCGCCCTTACCTTTCAGCAGATCCGGGTGCACGTAGCCCAACACGTCCGAGACCCCCAGCTCCTGGCGGGAACAGGTGCCTCCGTGGATGTGCAACCAAGCCGGCTCCGCGAGGGCAGTGCACAGCGCGGTTATAGACAGGGCGCCAGGCAGGGCCGAAGCAAGGCTACGCTCCGGCTGCTTCGGCAGAGTGCTGCTTCCCGGGCTCCTCCTCCGGCGCCCTCCCGGCAGCCCTGCGCCTCCCGGGGCATACATGCTGGGGGCCGCCCGCCGTCGCTCTGCGGTCTCTGGTAGCCGCGGACCTCCAAGGGGCGCGCAGAGCCTGCCTGTCCCGGGGTAGAGAGCAAAGCAATGGGTGGCTGGCGCGGGGCTGGCAGGGGTGGGACCCAGGGCTGAGCACAGATTAGAGGACTGCGGGATTCGAGGGGCGGGGATGAAGGACTCCGGACTAGAGGTGCGGGACCAGGACTCGGAGACCTGGGGTGCGGGCAGAACAGGATGACCAGAGCGGAGGTACTGGGGGGGGGGTGGTCAGCTACTGGCGCAGGGGCCCGGGGAGACCTGGATCCCGGTTGTTGGACAGAAGGGTGCCGAGGGGCGGAGGATGTGGCTGGGCCGCCGGGATCCTGGACCCGGGACCCGCACTTTGGGATGCGACCTGAGCTACGATGAGCCTCCCTACTCTGGTCCCAGCTCCTCACCGTGGGTCAGCAGGCCTCAGGGTTGCGATGGCGAAGCTCCGCCGGGTTACCGGCTTCTCAGCTTTCGGGGGCCGAGCGATCCCAGGCCCCAATCCCGCAACGCCCAGAGCGACCCGGGCCGATGCACTTCCGGCTTCCTCCTCCCCGACCCCCCGCCCCCCCGTCGTCGTCATCGACGTCGTCGTCGTCATCCTCCTCCTCTACCTCCTCCTCCTCCTTCTCCTCCTCCTCCTCCTCCGCCTCCCACTCCGGCTCCCCGCCCCGCCCTCCGCACGCGTCACGGGGTGCGCGCGCCGCCTATTCGTGAGCAGGGTCTTGCGGGACTGGTAGTTCGAGGTGATCCCACGAGGCTTCCCGTTGGGGAAGGTGAGGTGGGGAATGACTACAAGTCCCAGAAGGCCGCGCGGCCCAGTAGGGGGCGCTTCAGTTCCCAGGGCGACCTTGGGGCGGAAGGGGAGTTTTGGTGGGCTGTGAGGTCCTACTGTGTGCACCGCGGACCCGAGCACCGTGTGCCCCGCGTCGGCGCGCTGCTTCCGCCAGCGTCCTTCTCACTCTGCGCCCACCGCCATGAAGGATTCGCTGATGCTGCAGGCCCGCGTCCCGGCGCACCCGGACTCCCGCTGCTGGTTCCTGGCCTGGAACCCCGCGGGGACTCTGCTGGCCTCGTGCGGCGGCGACCGGAGAATCCGCATATGGGGCACCGAGGGTAAGGCCCAGCCTAGCTTCGCGACCCTGGTCCGGAGGGAGACGCCACTCTAAGGTTTTTTCAGCGAAAGGAGTGTGCAAACGTCGACAGGCTGGGATTGTTGCGAGAACTGGCTTCGTTTCTGAAGCAGGAAAATGAGAGGAAATGGTCTGCAGAGCAATTTGAAGCCCTTAGGAGACATTGACAGTTTTACATTAAGAGGGTGAGGTCTCAGATTTGTTTGTAGAATACCTCTAGAGGAAGTTGGCTGCTACAACTTTGTAAGGGTGATTGAGCTTTGTTCCCCAACAGGGCTCCACTTAGTTGTCGGTTGTTGAAGCACATTATGGTACGCTAGTACCATCGTGTACACTCATCTCTGGAGCTTTCCTGTCCTCTGCCTGTAGGTGACAACTGGATCTGCAAGTCTGTCCTTTCTGAAGGCCATCAGCGTACTGTTCGGAAAGTGGCCTGGTCCCCCTGCGGAAATTACTTGGCCTCTGCCAGCTTTGATGCTACCACTTGCATTTGGAAGAAGAACCAAGATGACTTTGAGGTAAGGAGACTGGATGGGAGCAGGTTGTTTTCTCTTTGTTCCCCAGGGCGGGTCGGTAACCTGAGCCAACCTGGGCTGTACTGGCCAGAAGGTTCCAACCTTTACTTAATTTTATATTATAGAAACTGTAGCTGGGTGTGGTAGCTCAAGTCTGTAATCCCAACACTTGGGAGACGGAAGCAGGAGGATTGACACAAGTTCAGGGTCAGCCTGGGCTACAGAGATGTCTCAAACAACAAAGTCGTGACCTTAGATTTTTGACTAGGGTCTAGGACTCTTAACTGACTTTAACTCTCATTCCTTTCCCCTTTCAGTGTGTAACCACTCTTGAGGGCCATGAAAATGAGGTCAAGTCAGTGGCTTGGGCCCCATCTGGCAACCTCTTGGCCACTTGCAGCCGAGATAAGAGTGTGTGGGTCTGGGAAGGTGAGTCCAGGTGCTTCTAGGTAGTGTGGAGAACTCGCTGACTTCCTTCCGTGTCCCAACAGGGTCAGCTTTTTTTATTTTCTCCCACAGTTGATGAAGAGGATGAGTATGAATGTGTCAGTGTCCTCAACTCTCACACACAGGATGTCAAGCATGTAGTTTGGCACCCAAGCCAGGAGGTAAGAGTCGGGCAAGGTAGAGCAGAACCCTTGTGTGGAGGCTTGTGCCATCTGCCCCATACCCTTCAGCTTCAACATCACTTTATGGGGGTCTCTGACTAAAAATCAGTAGTCTCCTTATGAAAACTGAACCCTGGGGCTGTCCTGTCCTATCTTGGCAGGGTTTAGTATTGGAACCACAAGTACTTCTTGGGACATACAGACAAGTACTAGGCCTTCTTCCCTTTCCTAGCTTTTAGCCTCTGCCAGCTATGATGATACAGTGAAGCTATACCGGGAAGAAGAGGATGACTGGGTCTGCTGTGCCACCCTTGAAGGTCATGAGTCCACTGTATGGAGCTTGGCCTTTGACCCCAGTGGCCAGCGCTTGGCATCTTGCAGTGATGATCGTACTGTGCGTATCTGGCGCCAGTATCTACCAGGCAATGAACAAGGTGAGGGTCCAAAAGTAGAGCTAAAGGAGACTCCTCTTGAGAAGTTTATTCTCTATCAAGACTTATCCTTGAATCACAGCAAGTTGAAGAAAAAGTAATCTGTGCCACAAGATCTGCAGAGAAATGCTGCAAGAACTGGGAAAAGCTGTGTGGAGCAGGGCCTTTTGACCAAGTTTGAGAGGGCTTGTAGAATTTTAACAGGAGAAGAATGTAACACAAGAATCTCTAATGAAAGCCCAGCAGTATGAGTTGGCATTGGTGGGAATACCTAGACTAAATGTAAGGAACAGGTTCCTTGAGGCAGGATGCTTGGGGAGAACTGATGTCAGTTGGGTTGGCTGAAGGGTGGTGTTAAAAGGCAGGTTAAATATAACCTACAGTGGAACAGGGATGTTTCCTTTCCAGAATTCTTGGGTGGCCACAGTGTGTAAGGCAGATAAGGAGGGTGGGTACAGAAGGTTGGTGATAAGGATTGAGGATGAGGGAAGGAAGGGCAAGTTATGTTCTCTACAGTAGTACAGTGAGTCCCCTGAGGTGTCCAGGACATAAACATGCCTTGGGTTTAAGAGAAGTCTGTCGTGCAGGGGTGGCATGCAGCAGCTCTGACCCTACCTGGAAATGTATCTGCACTTTGTCGGGCTTCCACTCCAGGACCATTTATGACATTACTTGGTAAGACTTCCTTCTCTACCTCCTATGGCAGGGATTTTAGAGATGTCATGACTTGTGCAGCTCCACCACCTCTGTTTCAGATCAGGCATGCCATGCTGGTTTAGAGCTGGCTGACCTTGGGTTCTTAGGAGTACAAAGCCAACTTAGATCTAGGTGTGTTTCTGGGATAAGATCCCAGGTTGTGAGGGCAGCACCAGCCCTTAGATTTCACACAGCATCAAATGTCTTGAGTCAGTCATTGAATTTGCTTTCTTTCTTTTTTAAATTTATGTGTATATGAGTGTTTTGCACAAAGCCTACAGAGTCGAGAAGAGGGTGTCGGATCCCTTGGAACTGGAGTTACCAAATGTGGGTGTTCTTAACTGCTGAGTCATCTCTGCAGTCCCTGAATCTGTGAGTGTGTAACTAGGATCTTTGTGGTTTGGTAACAGTTAACTCCTCTACTCTTAGGAAGACTAGAAAAGCTGCACCATTCTTACAGGACAGTAGGTTATAGGACAATTCTGGACCTGACAATTGGATCTAGGAAATAATTTTAAACCATGCAAAAAGGCTGTTGTGTATCCAAGCTTTATTTATTAGTAAATGTTTGGGAACAGCTATCCCACAAAACTGAACTTAAGTATACCATTGTCCCATTCCATTTTGACTTCATGGAGAATTAGTCCCACTTGTTGAGCAAAGGCTAAGTTAGTGGCATTTACTGCAGAAATTGAAATGTTTTTAGCTTTCAGCTAAGGAGTTTTTCTAGTATGTATTTAGCTGTGCTGAATGCCACAATGTGGTGGTGCCTGAACACAGACAGTCTAATACTTAGAGTTGTTTAAAACAAGTGTGAGCCCAATCTATTCTCAGAGCTATTCCTCCAACAAGGGGCATACTCACTTTATTGAATGTACAAACAGTACATTCAGCTTTTGTCTTACTAGGGAAGAATTTGCCTTTTCTGACCCTCCTGACTGAGAACAACATAGAAAACCACAGGTGTTATCAACCTAAGCCCACGTGTTTGCAACATAAACTGAGGATAATTCCCCAGCGCTGTTATTTTCACAACACACACACACACGCACACGCACACACACCACCCCCCCCCTCAGTATTTTGGGTCAGGCAAGGAAGGGTCATGAGGGAGAAATAGGGAACATAATCTAAGATTAAAGCTATGTGTTTAACAGTTTAGCTTGTAAAAGTTGATTACAAGAGGAGCCCAATCCCTAGGAACATTGTTTTCCTAAAGGCTACCTAGACTTAAATAAGCTGGTTACACAGTAGGAAGGAAGACTGAGTAGGCAGTGTTAAGTGATCTCAAAACATAAGATTAACTTTGGTTACAAGGTTAGGTAAGACAGGAGGCATTCCCAGAAAAGTCATTCCCACATTTGGCTACTTAAAAATAACCTTTTTCGGGGGCTGGAGAGATGGCTCAGTGGTTAAGAGCACTAGCTGCTCTTGCAGAGTACCCAGGTTCAATTCCCAGCACCCACATGGTGGCTAACAATGGTCCATAACTCCAGTTCCAGGGGAATCCAACACCCTCTTCTGACCTCCACAGGCATTGCATGACACAGTTGCATTTAACACACATGCAGGCATTACACGCATACACTAAATAAATAAAATATTACAAAAAAAAAAAAAAAACTTACTAGGAGCTGGAGAGATAGCTCTACAGTTAGGAGCACTTGCTGCTCTTCAGACAACCAAAGTTTGATTCCTAGACTCCATGCCAGCCACCTCACAACTGTTTGTAACTCTAGCTCTAGGAGATCCCACATCGTCCTCTGGCCTCTAGAGGCGCGCACACACATCCATAAATAAAAAAGGATAAATATTTTAAAAATAAACTTGTTCTCAAACATTGTTAGACAACTGGAATTTTTGCTAGTTTTGTAACTTAAAATGGATAGCTATGTAGTTGAGCATTCCACATTCAGAAGTTTTATATAGTGGCAAGTAATGAGAGAGTCTTCGATGCTTGTTTTAAAATGAGTTCCTGACTTTAAAAAGTACACTTAAGGGGCCGGAGAGATGGCTCAGTGGTTAAGAACACTGACTGTTCTTGCAGAAGACCCAGGTTCGAATCTCAGCACCCGCATGGCAGCTAACAACTTCTATAACTCCAGTTCCAGAGGATCTGACAGCCTCTTCTGTCTTCCAAGGGCATTGCACAACACGGGTGCTGCACTTACCTATATGCAGGCAATACACGCATACAACATTAAATAAATAAAATACTTAAAAAGTGAACTTAAGCGCCGGGCGTGATGGCGCCTGCCTTTAATCCCAGCACTCGGGAGGCAGAGATAGGTGGATCTCCGTGAGTTCAAGACCAGCCTGGTCTACACAGTTCCAGGACAGCTAGGGCTACAGGGAGACCCTGTCTCAAAAAGACCAAAAAAAAAAGCACTTAAAATGCCTTAAACTTATGAGTAAGGAAAATAATGATTCAGGGTGATGCCCGAGTCCTCACTGCTAATGTGAGACAAATTTTTGAGCAGGTAAAGGTTGCCCCTAAGGCAACCCACCTACTTTGTGGGATGCCTGGGTGAAGCGATCTGCCCAACCCCTGGTGTGCACTAAAGAGAGACAAGGAAGAAGTATGCTGCTGGGGCTGTGCTTGTCAATTCATACCAACTGGCATGTCACTTAGTAACGTTACTTGTTGATGAAATCTTGATTGGGTAGGCTGTAAGAAACATGATGGTGGGGGCTGGAGAGATGGCTCAGCAGTTAAGAATGCTGATTGTTCTTGCAGAAGACCTAGGTTTGAATCCTGGCACCCATATGGCAGCTAACAACTGTCTGAAACTCCAGTTCCAGGGGATCTGACAGTCTCTTCTGTTCTCCACGGGCATTGTATAACACAGGTGCACTTACCTACATGCAGGCAATACACGCATACACATAAAAACTTTTTTTTTTTTTTAAAGTGCACTTAATTGTGGTAAAAATTCAAGTTCTTAGGCTAGGCATGATAGCACATGCCTTTAATCCCAGCACTCAGGAGGCAGAGGCAGATGGATCTGTGAGGTGGAGGCCAGCATCGTCTACATAATGAGTTCCAGGCCAGCTGGGGCTGCAGGGAGACTCTGTCTCAAAAAGACAAAACAAAAAACCAGAAATAAAACAAAAAATTAAAGTTGTCAATTTCAAAAGTTTAAGGACGTGGGCAAGTCAGGCCTAGTGGGCAAAGTGAGCTTTAGACTTTTGTGTAGTTTAGTTGTATTATTTTAGGTTAATTATCCTGGGGCAATTAAGCAGAAATACCTGAAGAGTAGGAGGGTAATACTGATGGATCCTATTTAGGGAAGCTCTTTTGTGAGAGACTTAGCTGAGGCCTGAGGTTTAGGGAGAGAACAGACTATGGTCTGTGGAAGAAGTCTACCTACCTAATTGGCCAGTTGGGGAAACAGAAGCCACCTGTGTACCCACTGATGTGCATGTCCTCTTAGGTGTCAGCTGACAGGGGCCCTGGCTACAGCTTGCGGAGATGATGCCATCCGGGTGTTTGAGGAGGATCCCAACTCAGATCCACAGCAGCCTACCTTCTCTCTGACCGCCCACCAGGGCCAGGCCCACTCCCAGGATGTCAACTGTGTGGCCTGGAACCCCAAGGAGCCGGGACTCCTTGCTTCTTGTAGTGACGATGGGGAAGTGGCCTTCTGGAAGTATCAGCGCCCTGAAAGCTTTGGAGCTACACCTTGACTTGGGAGAGTCACGATTCCCCAGAAACTGTTATAAGACTTTGGCAGTCACTGAGGCCCTAGAGAAGCATCCTTGACCTTCATTTAACATGGCTGTCTTCAGTTCAAACGTGTTGAAGCCACAAGACCATTTACTATTTTCCCTCCTTTGACATCAGGGAGCCATGGAATAGAGCCATGGAACATCAATATGTTGTGCCACAAAGTACACTTGACTTAATGCAGTGTTACATTTTGGGGGTGAATATAGTATTTATAATCATTGTACATATATGTACGAGAGTGTGTTTCAGACCTTTCTGGAATTGTAAGCTTTAAAGAACTAATCCAACTTGCCCCAGTTTCTTATATTTCCAGTCTGAAATAGATCCTGCCTTCCCAAATTCTAGAAAGTCCCACTTGAGCCAGTTGTGATGGTACATGCCCATCTCTCAGCACTCAAGGAGCAAAGACAGCTGGATGTGGGTAGTGCATGCCTTTTAGTTCCAGCACTAGGGAGGCAGGGGCAGGCGGATCTCTTAAGTTTGAAGCCAGCCTTGTCTACATAGTGAGTGCCATGCCAGCTGGGGCTCTAGGGATACCATCTCAAAAAGACTAAAAAAATTTTTTAAAAGGAAAGGAGGATCAGAAAGAAACTCAATGCTATGTTTGGCTACATAGCATGTTCAAAGCCAGCCTGGGCTACATGAGACCCTATCTCAAAAAACAAAGCAAAAGACAACATTCAAAAATAGGTGTTCTCCCCCCCCCCCATCTAGGTTTGTTCAGAGTAAAAAACATGTCTGTTTTCCCTTAGAAAACTCTCACGTCTCTTGTGATACTATGCTACGGTAGCAACTAGGGATATGAAAGAAAGACATGAACCCCTAAAGGGAGAATTATTACTGGTCACAGGCCATATGTCAGCAGGGAGCAAACTAATCCTGTGAATAGCAGAAAATACAGAAGAGAATAGCTTATGGCCCTCTAAAAGACCACGGCACTCCCCTATGCCATGAACCTGTGGTGGTGTTTCAGGGTGGGGGATGATTAAGATGTGAAGTAAACGTCCCTTAAGGAAGTAATGATTAGAGGAAAGGTTGAAAAACAGTGCTTAATGTAAAATATTCTTCCATCTTTTGAGATGAATGGGGTTTTGTAAAGGTTGTCTTCAAAGATGTAGCTTTTGCTTAATTTTTTGTAATGTAAAAATTGTGACCTGAGATTTTTGGAAAGACAGTTGAGGCAGTAGTATCTAGAGCAGTGGTTGTCAGAATGATCTGCAGATCCTTGGAGTCTGCGACCCAGTTAGGGTCAGCACCGTGGTACCATCTAGGCGGTGGCACCGAACTAGTAGTCTTCACTACCTTACATCCACAGTAGAAAGGCCAACTTGAGTTAGACATGTTCTTGGTAGAAGCAATAAAAATGATTCATTAATATTGACCCTTGAGGACACTTCTGAAGCTGACAAAATGGGAGACATGCATAAAGCTCTTCTGCACACTGAAGTATGGTGGTCTTGAGAAAAAGCAGTTCAGCAGTTGAGTTGCAAGCTGTGTTAGCTATTCTTCATGGCATGCTGTTTTTATCAGAAATAACTAGAAAATCATAGCATTTAGGCTTGGCTATTTGGGTTTTTGAAAAATGAATAGAATGACCCTTTCACTAACAGTGTTCACTGCTAATAATAAAGTTAAAAGCAAAAATTACAATTTCTGAAAACTTGCGTTGCAACCACAATCTTTAGGGGCAGTGAAATTAGCAAATGAGTGGGGAACTGCATCGGACATCTGGAAGATCTAGTGAATCAGTTTCCAAATGACCAATGCACTGTTACAAAATCATTCAGGTATAAGTGGTTCCAAGTCCAAGGCAGGGTGATAGGTTTAGTGGTACAAGGAAGCATGGATGAAGCTTCAGAGCCTACAATGCCTTTAGGGAACCTCCATATATAGTCTTGGTGTAGTAGCAAATAGCCATGATGACCTGAAAAGGCTATTTAAAAACTTGAATATAGAAGAGTCTAAGGAACCTGATTGGCTTCTAGCATGCCAGACCTTAAAGTGACTGCAAAACTACCATACTACTTTCCTCTTGGAATTAGTTTCTCCTCAAAGACGCTATTTTTAAATAGACTGACTTAATTTTTAATACAGTAACACCAATGAATAGGACATAAAAGCTTTGGGGGTTCTTCATTTTCTGTAGTGGAAAAGAGGTATTGAGATCATTATTTGAAAACTGCTGGCCTAGGGGAAAGAGTCCTACATAATCAACTTCTAACTTTGTATATGAGTGTGTTGATAACAGAACATTTTATCTAGTCATAGCTACTTGGTGCCTCTTAACCCAACTCCACACCCCACTCCCCAAAGACCTTGAGAGACCCTAACCTGTAATCTCTGGCCAAATTTAGAGTCCGCTCCTGCCATCATGCCACTGGCTATGCCATTGTGTGTGCCCACATCCTAGGAAGGAGGCCAAAGTCATAAGCCTGGCTGAAGAGAAGCTACTAACATCGTTCCCATCGCCAGTGTAAACCCAACTAAAGGGCAAGTACATCCTCCAAGTACTCTTAGAGGTTCAATGGCCAAAAAGAGTGTTTTGGTATTTTTTCTTTGGCCATGGCCTTTGGTTGGAGAAATTTAAAATTACTGTAAGGACACATGGTTTCTCCAAGTTATTTATTAGAATGTCTGACTCAAAAGGAACTATAAAGAGCATTCCTAAAACTACTGTACAGTTTATGCTTGACATGACACCTGAAAACACTGGACCCAGGCCTAGACCACAGGTCTAAAGTGGGAAGGAAGGCTAGTGGAGGTGGGCTAGGAGAGCAGCAGACTTACTGCTTAGACCTCAGGCTGACAGAACTTGTCTCCAAAATCAAGATTCCCAAAACTAACATGTCCATTTACTTGTTTTTAAAAAAGCTCAATGTTCCTCTACATGAGAGAATGCCTCAGACTCAATCCGAGTCACTGTCTGTCTCAGCTTCCTTCACATCCACGCTGAATTTGTATTCCTGGTCACATCCCATGTAAGCATCACTCATGAAATACAAGGTGTAGTTGTGAGCACCTGTGGCTGGGGCCACGAAGTCTAGTTTCACCTAGAGAGAAGAGACAGAAATCGGGTTGGCATGGACCTGGGGGAGGCAATCCACCTGACCCACCCAGGATAGATGCTGGAGCCAGTGCACACACTCACCTTGGCCTTCTGCTGCAGGGTCAACCTCTTGATGGAGATGAGGCTGTTGGACTTGGCATCTCCAATCACAACCCACCAGCCCTCTTCACGTTTCTGCAGTGACCAAAATCCAAGAATTTCATCAAGAAAGACTTAATGGCCATAAAAACTGAGAATGACTATGAAATATGGCAAAACTCAGATAAAAAGTTTTCCAAAGCTCTTTCCTGAAACACAACTTGACAGATTTTTAAGCTGTCCAAAGATGTCTCAAAGTCTTCAAGTAAGTAGATAAACTAAAATTTTCAGTTCTATCCCATTTCCTTTCCTAAGGTACCTTTCCCATTTAGCACTTCTCATTTTCTTTATGATGCACTATTTAGAAGTCTGCCATTGGAGCACAACAGCTTCGGGTCCTTCAGAAACTCAACAAGGCAAGCTAGATGACAAACACCTTATCATGGAGATGAAGCTGCAGCAGAGACAATCCAAAGCAAGTTTTCCGACACCTCAACTCTGTGGAGAAGCCCTCTCTGCTGGCCACACCTCTGTCACAGAGCCCATGTGCTCCAGTTTAACCTGTTCTTTCCTTAGAACCTGTTGAATACTTTGTCTACAGAGCTACATGAAGTTTTATCTGTTACCAATCTTCAATTCTCCATAAAAAGAAGATAAAATTTCCTTTTTGTTGATAAAACAAAAAACCATGCAACTAGAAGCAAAGTAGAAGAGAAAGGGGAGGTGGGAGAAGAAAACACCAGTTAGAAAAGTCCAAGTGTCCTGGAAATACTGGTAGAAAAATGCATCTTATTATAGTCATAGAGATATTAACACTTCCCAGCAGATACTTTTAACAATGACCAGTCATCTAAATTGTTTAAAAGCAGAGAAGAGGGGCTGGAGAGATGGCTCAGTGGTTAAGAACACTGACTGTTCTTGCAGAAGACCCAGGTTCAAATCCCAGCACCCACATGGCAGCTAATAACTGTCCGTAACTCCAGTTCCAGGGGATCCGATGGCCTCTTCTGTCATCCACAGGCACTGCACGACACGGGTGCACTTACCTACATGCAGGTAATACACTCATACACATAAAATAAAAATAAATAAAATATATAAAAAAATCTATGGCTCCAAGATTAATTCTTAGCCTGTTAACTTCATTATTATCCCTAGATACCCGCTCTGGTGGGAAATGTATCCTGTACTCCTCAGGACCTAGCCAGTGGCTAGGGCTTTTGAGTCAATACCTGGTAAAGCCAGCTGCCAAGACATACCTGTGGGAAAAGAGGTGCAATAACAGGGCCTGTGACTTCCTCCTCTCGCTCCAGCTGCACCAGCACCACAACTGGCCCACCACTGAGGGGAAAGCAGAATACATGAGCAATGTGGCTGTGGGCAGAAACCCCAGGGCAAGGCTCTTGGCTTTTGCTGGCTCACCTGCGGATGCTGTCCTTATCTACCACTTCATAGGACAGTTCAATATTAGGGTAGCGGTTACAGAAGCGGGCTACATCTGCAATCTGGCTGTCAGTCAACTGAAGCAATGCATTTCGTTCTTCATCCTCCATCTCCATGATGTCAAAAACACTCTCCACTCCCTGCAGTGATAGGTATGCAGAGACAGATCAGAGGAGCAGAGAACTCAATCCATAAGCAAGTAACATGAGCTCCAAAGAGCTACTCCTCTTACTTCTCACACTGCTAAGTCATCTGAAGACAGCTCTAAGAATACATCCAACAACTAGCCCCTCTCAGCATCTTGACAGAGAGCCCCTTCAAAGGAACCAAAATTGCCCCTGCTAATACTTGCTTCCCACAGCCCACCCACAGAGCAGGACCTTTGCTCTCAGGCTCATCACCTAGCACTCAACATCCACTGAGCTTACCTTGTCTGTGCAACGTTTGATATGCTCTGAGGTGAAGTGTGGCAGCTGCTTCAGGTAAGAGTCCTTGGACCACATGGCTTGGGTGACCATCTGAGCCAGTTCCATGGCTGCCAGAGCAGGGCTGAGCCACCCATTGCTAGAAAGTACATCTACACAGGCTTGAATGAGCCGTATTGCCTGCATAGGAATGGAGTATAAGAGTCGGTGGGCTTGGAACTGAGCCTTCCAAGGCCCCCACTGACCCTGCACCCAAACCCCCACCTAAACTACCTTACTAAGGATTTCCTCTGTGTCTGACTGCAGCTCGGCACTCAGCTGCATGCGGGACAGGTGAGCCTGCAGGAGCAGGTTGGTCTTCACATGTGGATCATTGAATTTAGGGTTATTCAGCTTGTGGGGAACCTTCTGAGCCAACTGGAATGGAAAGAAAAGAGCTGGTGATAAACAGATCACCCTGCCTGAGACCAATTTGGGTCAAAAGTACCATGTGGTCCAGCCTGCAGAGGGAAGGAAGGAGAAATACAGGAAGTATTGGAGGATGTATGAGAATGAGGCATGAGGACTATGTGCAGGCACAGGTAAGAGGAAGCCATGTGCTTTGGCACACAGGCCACATTTTCACCCCTAGATG